CGTGGCCCGGCCGGGGCGTCGCTCCGGGGCAGCCCCTCCATCCTCGGACCAAACTTTCCCTGCAGCTGTGGCTAGAAGGAGTTACGCTTTGGCTTCAGAGTCGCTTCACAGGCAAGAGGCAGATTTCCAGGAAAACCGGTGTCTGCACTGCGTGGTTACAATGTATACACAGAGGATTCTGTAGGAGACGGGAGAGCGGGTAGTGCTCGTATCAGATTTCACGTGGACTGTTTGCTGCGAGCAGAATTAAAGGAGGGAACGGAAGCAGAGTGCTGTCCGTGCTGTCAATTTTTAAACAAGTCCAAGTAGAATATATTGCACGTCATATATTTTTTTATAATCCTCACCCAAGGATTTTTTAAAACTGATTTTGGAGAGGGGAAGAGGGTGGCAGGGTCTGAGGAAGGGGCGGCAGGCGCCACATCCGGCCGTGGAGGTGGCAGGACGAAGCCCCTGAAGCAGCCGAGAAGCAGGCCAGGGAGGTGGACGCGGAAGATGAGGCGTTCACGCAGAGGCAGAAGGAGGAGCAGAAGGAACCTGAGGAGCTGAAAGCGAAGGCCGCACGGAGGGCCCTGCCGCAGGCGGAGTTAGGAAGCCTGGCCGAAGGCGAGCCGTCCCTGGGCCCCGGCAACGGTGACCCTTCGTTCTGTTCCTGTGTTAGCATCTGGGTTCCCTGCCGTGACGTCTCTTGCCACCTATAGCTGCAATGAAGTGTTGTCTTGGAGCCTGTTGTACATTTAAGAATAAACTTTTGTTAAAAAATAAATAAAAAAGAGAGGAAGAGATGGGGGCAGGGAGAAACATTGGTGTGCGAGAGAAAGGTCAGTCAGTTGCCTCCTCTGTGCTCCCCGACTGGGACCGAGCCCGTCACCCTCTGGTGTCTGGGACGACCCTCCAGCTAACTGAGCCACGCGGCCCGGGCCGTTTCATGCAGTGTTTTAGATAGTACTGCTGTGGCTCCGTCTCTTAGGCTTGGGCTGTGGAATCGTGGTCATTGACAGATACCTCTTCATTTCATCACATCTCCATGACAAGTTCTTTACCAGTTAGGGAACATCGCTTTCTGACGGCAAAAATGTGAAGCCTGACTTCAGCCGTTCCCCTCTGACTTGCATGTCCCAGCTCCATGCAGGTCCAGGTAACTGCTGTGAAGCGGTCACCTCCACATCTTCCTGGGGCCTCGGTTCCGAGTTGTGTCACAGGAAGATGGCCAGTTTTCAGGAGCTGCAGAGATGCCTCTCTTCAGTGCAGCGGGGTCTTGGGGGCATGGTGTGGGGAAGGCGCCGCCCTGCTGACGTGCTCAGGTGGGGCTGTGAGGGACACTTGGGAGATGCGGTGGGTTTTTCTGATGGGGAACTAGTGGCAGCTGGGAAGTTAGGAAACAAACAGGGTGGCGGAAAATGGCCACTGCGGCTCAGTTCCGTCTGCCAGTCGGCCACCACGTCACCCTGGGGCAGGGCGGCCACCGCGTGGCTGGGGCGGACAAAAGTCAGGTTAGTGTTGACGTTTAACGGTGGGATACTGTGCTCCAAATGCACCTCTACGAAGCCCTCACCAAGAAGTTCATAGTTTTATTAGGGAGAGGAAAGTTTACACGTGGAGCATTTTTATTGATTACTTTTTATCGCCATTGATCCTCCCATACCCTCTTCTATCGCCACACACCCCCTCCTAAGTATTTTTTAAATTGTTTACTTTTAGACTAAGTACTAACGTCACATGGTGTCACACTGAAAAGAAGCAGAGTGGACAGGAGAGTCTTCCTCCCACCCAGGTGCCTGAAATACCCAGTGGGAGGGAGTGTTAGAATGTTGACCCTTTAGAGACATTACACCCATGGAAAAAGTTGGTGTGTATTTCATCATCGTTTTTGTTGTTTTGCCCACAAATAACAAACACTGTTCTGTCCCATAGCAATGCACTGAGAGAGCATTACCTTTGTGCACATCCAGAGCCTCCGTTTTTATGACCACGTGTGCTCTACACTTGGCGTGACGAGCCCCTTCCAGGGACATCCAGGTTGCTTCCACCTCGCTGGTAAAAGCCGTGCTGTCGTGAATGCCCTTGCATAAGAGTTGTTTGTGCACGTGTAGAGGGTGAAACGCTGGAAGAATCAGGAGGGCCAGACGGCCGTGCATGCCGGCTTCCTTGGGCTGTGCGCAGCTGGCTGCACACTGCGCCTGGCGTGCTTCTGTTTTTCACGGAGGCCTAATTTACAAACCATGAGGTTCACAGTTTTAACTGTGCTTTGAGAATTTCAGGCTGTACCTGTTGACCTCAGAGCAGGAGAGTACCCGAGAATCATCTTCTCAGCGTACGGTGTCACCACTTCAGTTTTTGTTTTTACCAACACAGCGGGGAGAGAGACATAGTGTGTGTTTGCTGTTTTAACTAAGCACAGCTCACACACAGGCCCACCAGTCCTAAGTGCGCAGCTGACTGACTTTCACCACCAACCTATCAGGATGCAGGCCACGCCCACATCCCAGAATGTTCCCTGCCCCCAACACCACCTTTGACCTCTTTGGCTGCAGCCTGCCTGCCTGCGAACTCAATGCAGGGATCCCCTGTTGCCGGTGATCGGCCATCTCTGGGCCACCCTGGAAGGAGAAGAGTTGTCTTGGGCCACACATGAAATACACAAACACTGACTTACAACAAAAACAGTTTAAAGTGAATTTGCGGCTGTGCTGGGCTGCGTTCATAGCCCTCCTGGGCCATGGGTTGGACACCCCTGGCTGTAGAGCAAACCTTTTTTCCATCCGGTTTCTTCCGTGTTGTATGTGCGAGTCAGTCGCATTGTTGTAAGTACCTATAATTTACTGTTTCACGTGGCAGTGATTCACTGTAATGTAGGCGTGTTAAACCACAATTGATTTGTTGAACTGTGGGCTTTGGGTTGCTTCTGCTTTTCAGCTTTTATGAATGAAATCTCTGTGCCCTTCCTTGCACACGCCTGTTGGAGGCGTTCGGCACTCCCGGCTTCTGGCCGTGCACCTAGTCAGAGTCACTTTTGTTTTTAACTGAAGTCTAACTTCTTTTTAATAATCCTCACCTGAGGATATTTATTGACTTTTTATTTTTTTAAGACAGAAGAAGGGAGAGCAGCATTGATGTGAGAGAGAACTCAGTCGGCTGTGTCCGGTACACGCCCCACCTGGGGGTCTGCCCTACACCTTTTTGGTGGAGGGGCAACGCTCCAACCCACTTACCCGCCCGGCCAGGGCCGAGGTCTGATTTATAAACCGTAAAACTCACCAGCTTCTAGCACAGAATGCGTTGGGAAACAGTTTCCTATGGGTCTCCTGCGTTTCTTCTGAGCAAAAGCGCCGACTGCCTTTTCTCAGTCTTTGGAGGGCGCTGGAAACAGAAGTGGGCCTGTCCCCAGAGCAGAGGGCCGGCTTGCGTGCAGCCTTGGCGCGTCGGGACGCGCCTCCTCCAGAGCAAAGGCTCGGCCTCCCTGCCGCCCCTTTACAGGGCCACCTTTGCAGCCCACGGCGGCCCAAGTGTCACCTGCTCTGGGCAGAGCCACTTGGGGCCTGGGGCTCCGGCCGCCAGCGCCGGAAGTGCTGATGCCGCCGCCCTGTGAGTCCCTGCCTCGAACCCAGAGTCCTTTGGCGGCTGCCACTCAGTCCCCGCGACACCGGGGCCCCTGTGAGCTTGCACTGAAGGTCAGGCTTGGGCCTCGCCTTCCTTATGCCAGTCGGGATTCTGACACCCAGGGAGCCTCGCAGCCCCTAGCACACTCTGCTTGCAGAGCACTCGTGTCTGCCCGCCCAGCCCTCTGTGCCCCTCACATCTGCCCTGCCCCCGACAGCAGCCTCCCCAACAGAGTGGCAGCCCCCTCCCCCGCCGCGGCAGCCCCCCCCCCTCCCCCGCGCGGCAGCCCCTCCCCCACCGCTGGCAGCCCCTCCCCGCCGCGGCAGCCCCCTCCCCCACCGCTGGCAGCCCCCTCCCCCGCCGCGGCAGCCCCCTCCTCCACCGCGGCAGCCCCCTCCCCAGCCGCGGCAGCCCCCTCCCCCACCGCTGGCAGCCCCCTCCCCCGCCGCGGCAGCCCCGCTTGGCACTTTGTCATTGCCGCGCGCGTAGCCACCTGCCCCAGGCCTGGGAGTGGGGTCGCGCAGTGTGGGTGGCGCGGGGCCGCTGCTGCGCATCCTCTGCCTGCTGTGCCTGTCACTAGTCCGCCCTGAGCCAGAGCGGGCGTCCTGTTGTTGGGACGGCTGTGTGCTCACTCGCGGGGCGGGGTTTAGGTGGTTGCCCGCTTGGGCCCACCCTGGCTGCAGCGGCGCAGAGCGCGGTGGGGTCCGTCTGTGCGAGGACGGGTCTTTTCACGTGTCCGGGGCGCAGCCCTCGGAGCCGAACGGCCGAGGCGGAAGGTGCGCGCTTCCGCCCGTGCGCCCCCGCCGGGCTGTTTTCCAGGCGCCTGTCGCCCTGCGTCCCTACATGGCTGTTGAATTTGCATCTTTCGTTATGAGTGTGGTTGAAAGTATCATTTCATATGTTTCAATTACTTGTATTTCCTTTTCTGCGAATTGCCTGTTCACCTCATCTTTCCTGTTTTTCTACCAGGTGCTGGAATTTTTTAGTGATTTGTAGGTATTCTTCATGTACCAGGGGATATTTTTAGTCATGCTAATAATTACAAACTTTTTTTCCGTCTTGTCAGGTAACTTTTGAGGTTGTTTATGTGGGTTTTGCTATACAGAAACTTGTCTCTGGAATGCTCAATCTCAGAGTATTTGACAACAAAGAAACAGGATTGTTCTTTTCATTCATCCTAAAGTATAAAATAGGTTTTCAGCAATATTTTACGTAGCCATAACCTCAGTGGGAATAAACAAAAATATTCTGAAGACTTAAAATTTTCTGCATCCTCGTAAGAGTTTACCACTGTTTAGAAAACAGCTATACATTGGAAACAGAAGAGCTTTAGAAATTGTCTTGCTTTAGGTGCAGTAAGAGAAGAAATACTAAAAATAATGTTCCATGTGTCTTTACAGAAATATCTACGCAAGATGTTGACATTGCAAACGTGGACGGTACAAGCCTTGCTCATTTTCCTCACCACCAAATCCATAGGTAAGGCCCGTGCAGGACCGGCCCCTGGCCCCCCGCCCCCAGCCCCGTCCGGGCGCGGCGCGGCAGCTGCTGTAGCTGTGCTTGTGCTTGCTAATCGCGGCGGATGCTTACACACTGCTCTTTCTGGGGACATTAGTAAGCGACTACTGCTATCTTAAAATGATTTGAAGAAGTGAAAACGCTCTTGATAAATTATGATTTGTATAATTTGAGTTGAAACACTCAGTAATTCTAAATGCCATTTAGCTATAGTAACTATAATTTTTAAGGCAGAGAAGGAGAACTTTTCTTTTTTAATAAAGAAATAGGAGACAATTTGCTCATCACCCCCTGGGCTCCTCGCTGCCACCACGGCATGTGCGGCACAGTCCTGCCCCGTGTGTCCGCGGTGCCGGCCTGGAAGGCGCGGGGACTGCCGGTCGCCGCTGCCTCCGGCCACTGTGAGGATGGAGTGAGTTAATACACAGAAGGCATTTGGACAGTGGCCCACTGTAAGCTAATAAAAAGGATAGTAATTAGATATTTATTACTAAGGTTTGAATAAAAAGCACTTAGGAAAATACCAGAACTAGACATGATCTGAGAGTAGTGACTCTATTACTTTGATCAGAGCATTATTTTTATTAAAGCAGCATAGTTGGCTGCCAGTTGAGAGGCACGGTGCTTCCAAGCTAAGCCACTGGTCAGAGGAGATTCTCAGGTGGTGTTCACACGAGTTACTTTTAAGCCCTTTCTCCCTCGCCCTGTATCTGCACCCACTGACCTATGGAGAGGAGGCACCTTCCCTCTGTCGCAAAGCCCGCTGTGTCGGGCTCAGCCTGGTGGTCTCGTCTTTCACGCGAGTTCTAGCCCTGACGTTGTGCTGGCCGTCCTTCTCAGGCTTGCCCTTTGCTCATTTGTAAGCGTGTGTATGTTTTTTCTCTTTGTTTTTTTTCCCAAGTGGATTAAAATGTTGAAAATAATTGCACTGCTTTCTCAGTAGCTGCCTCACAAATTACTCCAAAACCCCACGCTCACAGTGACAGCGACCATGGTTTCTCATGGTCTCTTGGGTCCGGGCTACAGACGGGCACAGCCAGAGCGGGGCATCTGGAACCCGCGCCAGGAACCCGCGCCAGGAACCCGCAGAGGCGACGGCTGGCATGGAAAGGCTCCCCCACATACCTGTCGGGGGCGCTGCTGGCTGCGGGCTGAGGGCCTTGCTGGGGCTGTCGGCCAGAACGCCACACATCGTCTCTTCGTGTGGCCTTGGCTGGGTTCCAAGGGCAGATGTCCCAAGAGAAAAAGAGAGCCCGTCGGGCGTTGCATTTTTTTAACAGCCCAGCCTTGGAAGTCGCACGGCACCCCCACTGCCCGGAGCAGACAGGTCTGAGAGCAGAGACCCTGCTTCCTTGTGGAAGGCGTGCCCGTCATGCTGTGAGAAGAGCGTGCGGAGCCTGGCGCAGGTGGCCCCGTGGGTTGGAGTGTCATCCCGTCAACTGAAAGGCCAGGGGTTCAGTTCCCAGTCAGGCACATGCCTAGGTGGTGGGTCTGGTCCCCAGGTGGCCAGTTGGCGTTTCTCACATTGATGTTTCCCTCCCTCTCTCACTTCCTCCCTTCCCATCTCTCTAAAACCAGTGAGTGTGTCCTTGGAGGAAGGAAGAAGAAAGGAGGAGAGAGTGTGGGCTGGAATGAATGTAGCTGTGCCCAAGGACAGAGGGCAGCATGTGTTTTGCCCTGCTCCAGACTTCCTGTCATTGACTTTTTCTTAGTCAGTATTCTTTATGTGTGAGGTCTGTCCAGGAAAAGTCCAGCCATTGTCAGTGTTATGAGAACGGTTTGCACAACATCGCTGTAACCTGGCACTCACGGAGGGTGGACTGGAATGTGCATGTGTGAACAATGACCACTTCACTGTACTAGTCAGTGGGGGCTGTAGATGCTTTTTGAGTGAGCATGTGCACACTGTGTGGTTGTCACATTCAAAATGACTGAGTGAGTAGAGCAGCAGATCTGCACCAAATTTTGCGTTAAGCTTGAACATTCCTCCACGGAAACCATTGCGGTGATTGAGAAGCCGCAGCAATGGGCCGCTGGTGATGGGCAGCTTCATCGACAGTGCGCCCGCTCGTGCCTCCCGTCTCCTGCAGAGTTTGCAAGACATCAGATCGCCCAGGTGACTCGGCCCGCACTACGGCCCAGATTTGGCGCTCTGTGATTTCTGGCTCTTCCCAAAGCTGAAATCACCCATAAAAAGGAAGAGATTTCAGACTTCGATGAGATTCAGGAAAATAAAACGGGGCGGCTGATGACAACCGGGAGAGCTGTGTGAGGCCCCGAAGTGCCTACCTTGAAGGGGACTGAGGCGTCATTTGTCCTACGTACAATGTTTCTTGTACCTGCTTCAATAACTGTCTTTGTTTTTCATATTACATGGCTGGATACCTTCTGGACAGACCTCATATATGAGTCATCAACCAGTTAAACAAGTTTGAACTTAGGAAATTTCTGGTTTTGTGTATAAACAACAGCCAAATAGCAGTATCATGTTCATTCTAATGTTTATTCGAGTATATTCTCGTACACATCTTCAGCTTGTCCACGTGAATACCCCAACTAATTTTATCAAATACCTTTTTGAATTTTAAAAAAAAACCTCTGAAATTTAATCTCAAATAGTTTGGTAGTGCTATTAAAATGGGTTGATCTGGGATGGGATGGTTTTCATGAGCCTGTTTTTCTCTTCAAAAACTTGAACGTTTGCCCATTTCTAGTATTTCTCTTATTCTGTGTGATACAAATTAGTAATATTGAGTCTCTGGTTATATCCGATGTTAATATTTATTATATCATATGTTCTTTAATACTCTATATTTCACTTTCACTGTTTCCTGTACTTACTTAGAGAAAGTAAAACAGGAGTGAGTCGACCAGGAGTCCAGTGTGGCCGAGGGAGCTGTGCGCGCCAGCCCGCCTGGTAGCGTGGGCACCAGGATGGAGTTTTACACAGGTGGAATTTTGAGTGATACATGCACTTGGACTTAGAGTCGCCGTGGGGGAACCACGGCAAGGCCGTGTGAACAAGGCCCCTCGTTCCCTTTAACACAAACACACACGTCCCAACCCCGGGCGCTGGGGGTCAAAGAGGGCCCAGGACCCGCTCGGGGCGCAGCTGGGACTCCGGAGCTGGCTCGCATTCCTCCTGCCGACTCCGAGGGACGCGGAGGATGAAAGTGCGTTTAGCTTTCTAGGGCGGTGCCAAGTTCTGTCCCCCTGTGCGGCTGGCTGGGACCAGGCCAGGGCCGGTCACAGGCCGGCCCTGGGGACGCATGGCGGCGTCTTGTGCGAGCGCAGTGCTCTCCAGGTTCTGCGCAGATTCCCATCTCCGTCGCTCTGTCCCTTCGGCCTGCGCTGCCGGCGCAAGCCGCTGCCAAGGGAGCCTGCCCCGCCCTGTCTGTGGCAGTCTAGTGACAGTAGAGGGGTGCGGGCTGTTGGAGCCTCACGTGCATTATGCCTGGTCTCCAAACACCATGAGGGTTCGCCCGGGAGCCACCTTCAGGTGCTGGGCTGGGAGGCTGGGGAAGGAGACCAGGGTCATTCACTGCCACGTTGGGAATTTCGTCTTGATGGGACTAGGGGGCCGTTAAATAATTTACAGTAGGGAAATGGCGTCACCTGGAAAAGCAGCTCCAGCGGCAGTCTCGGGGGTGAGCGGCCAGGAGGTCAGGCAAGGTGACGTGAGGGCTGAGCCACGGCTGCCAGAGCAGGGCCTGCGCGGAGAGGCGACCCGCCCACGCAGGCGGGCGCGGGACCCACGCCCCTCGGGGCAGCGCCAGGGAGCTGCAGGCGGGAGGGGCCGCGGAGGTGCTGATGGGGCTGCGCGCCCCAAGGGCCTGGTGCTGGGCCTTGGGGTGAAGTGAGGGTAGGGGGGCGGGGCTGCGGTGCGTCCGGGCGCCTCTGCTTTAAGCTCCCCGCAGGCGCCACAAGCCTGGGGCGTCGGCGCTGCAGGCGGGTTAGAGGTCGTCGGGCCACTTGTGTTTTATGTGTGTGCAGTCTGAGTCTTGGCTTTTAGCATGGGATCTTCTCCCATCTGCTGCGGTTAAAACCAGTGTGTTTGGTCACTTTGTTGCATTCTTTCTGTTGTCATTGCTTCCCTGCTGTTTCCTTGGTCGTCTGGATTTTGGCGTGTGAATGGTGTGGACCGCCCTCTGCCCCCTGAGCCCCTCGCGCCCCCCGTGGCGTGCGGCTGCCCTGCCAGCCTGGCCGAGGGCTCGCTCAGTGCGGCCCGGGCTCTGAATGGATGGGCAGCCTGTGCTTCCGGGGCCACGTTAGAACAGTGCAAGACTGGCTGAGCCTGCCTAGGCTGTTCTTTGCTATCCGCCTGCGTGGTCCTTGGGATTTGTTTCTTTTCTTACAGATTTTGGCTCATTTCTGACCATATTGATTTTCACCGTAGGGTTCTTTTCTTGTGTCTTTAGCACTGTGTCCGTGGAGACGGGAAGGTTGCCCAGACAGACAGACAGACAGTGCAGCTTTGCACCCGTGGAGCCCAGCCTGTTCTCACGTGTCCTGTTACTGCCCCTCCCAGGTGAACTTCTGGATCCCTGTGGCTATATCGACCCCGAGGCCCCTGTCGTACAGCTCGGTTCTAACTTCACCGCCGTGTGTGTGCTGAAGGAGAAGTGCATGGATTACTACCGCGTCAACGCTGGTGACGTTTTCTGGAAAACAAACCATGTCACTGTTCCTCACGAACAGTGCACTGTCATAAACAAGACAGCGTCCAGTGTCACCTTCACCAACATGTCCTTATTAAGCGTTCAGCTCACCTGCAACATCCGCACGTTTGGACAGATCGATCAGAACATCTACGGGATCCGAGTGACCGCAGGCTGTAAGTGTGGCCCGCGCCTCGCGCCCCGCTGCAAACCCGGTCACGACTGCCGGTCACACTGTTAGCGCGGGGTGTCGGTCTTCGTGAAATGCGTTGACTTGTTGGGTCAGTGGCTTCTGTACATACTTGTATTTTAAAGATAAGCTTAATTTTTAATAAGCTTAGTAAGTGGAACTACAGCTTCATTACTAACAGTCAGAAAAACTTAAAAAGTAGCACGTTTTATATTAATATTTTCCCTGAAAGCCAAGCATCTTGTCAGTTCTCTAGAAAAATCTTCGCCATGGGGCTCCCAAAACAGAACCACTGAATTGAAACTGCGACTTTATTCATAGTAACTTTCAGTACCCCTTAACTGCTGAGAAAACGCACACTAGGCAGCCACGTACAGAAGGCCCGTAAACACTGGAGAAGGTCCTTCTGTGTCAAAGCAAATGAACGTAGTAGGATCCAAGGGCAGCGTATCAAGTCTGTGCATCGCCCACAGCTAGAATGTCGCCGTTAGCTTTTGCTCCGGCAGAGCTTGGGAAGGCACTAGGAAGGGAAATGGCAAAGGGGTCGTTCTTGCTTCTATTTAGTAGTCTCTTAATAATATGCAAGTGTTACTTTTTAAAATACACTTGTTAGAGAAATCAGTTGATACTCTTATCTAGATATTTATGTAGAAAATTAATTTGAAAAATACTAGTTAATGACAGTTGTGATCAAAAATGTATATTATCACCTTGGAATAAGTTTGAATTTAAATAGAAATTAATTTTTTAGGCACCAGTCTTTCACCATGTCCTCACTCTTTGCTTGGGCTTTTTTTTTTTTTCTTTCTAATTTAGGTTGTAAATTTCTGGGATGGTATATACATTGCCTGTTATTTGTGGATAAAAAGCTTTTTGAAAGTTGCTAATTTTTTCCTCTTAGTGCCTCCAGAAAAACCTGAAAACTTGAGTTGCATCGTGAACGAAGGGAAGAAAATGACGTGCCAGTGGGACCCCGGCAGGGAGACGCACCTGGAGACGAACGTCACCCTGAAGTCGGAATGGCAAGTGCTGTGTGGCCGCTGCGCTGCGCGCCGGGCCCGCTGCGGTAGCCGGCGGTGCTGGGGTTTTACTTTGTCAGGTGGTGTTGAAGGCGCATTTTCAACACTTTCTTTTACGCTGTGCGTGAGAACAGCCGAGACAAAGCAGAGAGAACAGGGGAATGAATCCCCCTGTGCCCACCGTCCGGCTTCAGGAAGGATCAGCTCAGGACCGGTGGTCCGTAGGTCCCCCTCCCCCGCCCCCCGGGAGGCAGGAAGAAAATCTCAGACATTCCGTCGCCTCACCAGGGAGCACTGTAGTGCACCCTCCAGCCGATGAGGACACCTTGAAAAATGACCCGAGGTCACACTCACACCCAGATGGAGTTGAGAAGACCTTCGCATTGTCCCCGCACTTCCTGTTGGTGTTCGGTTTTCCCAGCTGTCTTATAAATGTGCATATTTTCACATCCGTCCAAATCGCGACGCCAGCGGCCTCTGCTTTGCAAGCGGGTCCGCCCCCTCTCCGGGGGCTGGGGGCTCGCCCTGCTTCCCCCTGTGGTGGCTCACTCGTTAAAAGGGCGGTTTCACATTGTTCGACGTTCCTGGCCCTCTGGTTCCTAGAAATTGCTGCTAGATCTAAACACTCGATCAAATGCGGCTTTGACTTTTTTTCCAAAACTGACCAGGAGGGACGCGCGTGCCCGTCGGGAACCACCCCGCCGCCCGGTGGTCCCTCGCTCTCCGACCCGGGGACCGCGCGGTGGCCGCAGGTGTTGCCAGCCCGGCCCATTCGTTATAAAATTCCCCATTAGTTGTCAAACAGAAGCCTGGGGAATTTCGCACGTGCCCGTCACCTGGACCCCACAGCTGCAGCGGCGCTCTGCTGTGTTTGCTGCGCCGTGGGTCTGGCCGTGCGTCCTCTCCGTCCGCCGCTTCCCCCCCTTGGGAGCGGGCGGCGGACGCGGCTGTGCCTCCCCTGAACACCTCAGCGCGCGTGTCGTTGGGTAGGTGTTCCTGGGCGTGCTTTTGGTTTTTGGTGAAATTCGCGTGTATCGTACACATCCGGGCACTTAGATGTGCCCTCGCCTTGAATGTGCCCTTCAGCGGGCTCTGCTCCTGCCCACGCCCGTGTAGCCCAGCCCCCGCCGGACAGGCCGCGCCGCTGGCGCCCCCGGAGCTGTGCCGAGCCCCGGCCCGCCCAGCCGCCTGCCGCCCACTGGGCGGCTCCTCCTGGCTGCTGTCTTCGCTGGGCCTTGGTGCCTGTCCCGGAGGCTCCTACGAGGGGCGTCAGACAGCGGGTGCTCTTTTGTGAAAGGTTCTCAGGACTCGGCCAGTGTTGGGGATTGAACCCTGTCGCCCCCCGGTGGTTGTTACTGAGAGGTTCGCGCAGCCACCTGCAAACAGCCTTTGTACCTGAGGTACAAAATCGAGCCGGTCTGTTTTTTGGTTTGGCCCGACACACCTACAGCTTCCCTTCCTCAGCTTTTGGGGACCCAGACGCACAATGTGTGTGAGACAAAATAGTCTTGATAGTTCCCAGTATTAAACGGCTTGATAACGAGTTGATTCCCTGGTATCTTCCAGAGGTAGTTAATGAGGGGTCTTCCCCCTCATTATGAATTCTTATTTCTAAATGTTTCGATGTGTTTCTGTCTGTTACGGTTATTCTTCCAGACTCTGCCATCGCTTCATCTGTGGTTAGTGGGGACTTGCTCCGATGGCTCACCCTGGTGACGCCGCTTCATTAGCCTTTGATGGCTTCCTTGGGTTTTGATGTGATGTGATTTTCCAGGTTTACCTTAATATATTCCTTGCCCCAAACCTAAAACCAGCCACTTCCCCACTAGCCGTGGCCCCACGCAGTGTGGGATGCGCCTCCGAGGCTGGAGTCTGGGCCGCGGGAATGCGTTCCCTGGCTGCTGTGCTTTCCCAGCTTCTTCAGGGGAATACTGAGAATTTTAAGATTGTTTTCTTTCACTGAGGAGATATAGTTAAGTTGCTATTTTAAAGATACCTAAAATAGTTGTGCTTTTCACTAGCTCTGTAGAAGAGTTCATAGGTTTCATTTTGTCTTTTAAAAAAACTTTTTTAAATTATTTCAGGGGGCGGTGGGGGGAGAGACACTGATTCGCTGTTCCACTGGCAGTGCGTGCACTGGTCGAGTCCTGCGTGTGCCCTGACCGGGGACCGAACTGGCAACCTTGGGGTGTCCGGACAACGCTCTGAACAACTCAGCTGTCCCGCCAGAGCCTCATTTTGCTTTTATTCTTTAGGAATTGTCTTTAAAATGGAAAAGAGTTAACCAAAAAGTCGAATTTATCAAACACGGTGCATGGACGTCACAGGCGTCTCCCTTCCCCGTCTCTGGTCCTCCTCTCCTCCTTTCCCCAGGTTCCCTGGTTTGGTTCGGGTTTGATTTATCACTCTTATTTTAAAAAATAATGTGCGTATATAAATACTCTTTGTTGGCATATAATCTAAATATATGTGAGTGAGTGTAGAAATGTCATGTCACTTTCCACAGTGATGGAGCTCAGACAGTGGTTGCCTGGTTCGATGGAAAGAGGCTGAGGGCATTTTCTGGGTGATAGGAATTCTTTAAAGACAGTTTTTTAAATTTATTGATTTGAGAGAGACATTGGTGTCTTGTTCCCCTCACTGATGCATTCACTGGTTGCCTCTCATACGTGCCCTGACCAGAGATCGCGCCCGCAGCTGGGGCACGTCGGGGCGGCGCAGTAACCGTGCGCCGCCGGGCAGGGCCAGGAACGCCCCCCCCGCCCTCCCGGCCCCCGCGAGCGTTGTGCCTGCAGAAGGGCACTGGTGGCGCGGCACGGACCCCATGGCAGAGAAGGAAAGAGCCGCTGCTGAGCCTGCAGGACACGGGCAATTTCTGGGGATGAGCCGGTGGGGGAGCGTAACACTCCGGATGTGATGTTCCCAGGATAAAAATAGGAAGATGTTTCTGTGTTTAAGATGTAGCGCAAACTCAGTTTTAAAGAAAAGCAGGTTAGTTTTTAAGGAATTTTGTTTTCAGCAGTCAGTTTACTTCAAATTTACTGGAATTAATTTATTTATCCTAAGCTATAATAATCTAGGTCTCACCAGACTCTTGTCAAGGAGCCTCTTTCCCTCTCATTTTTTCAGATCTAGTTTTAACAGCTGATCCCTCCGTGTCTGTATTTAGGGCAACAGAGAAGTTTGCGGATTGCAAAGCGAAGCGCGAGGCGCCCACCTCCTGCACTGTGGACTACTTGCCCGTGTACTTCGTCAACATCGAGGTCTGGGTGGAGGCGGAGAACGCGCTGGGCAAGGCCGTGTCCGCGCACCTCAACTTCGACCCGGTGGATAGAGGTAGGCTCCCCCGGCCTGAGGAGTCATTAAACGTACAGCGGTTTCTGAAGTAGTTTCTCGCTTCTGACGAATGTAGGAACAAGCATTTACTTTACTTGTGACTTTTACAAATGCATTTTACCAACAGCATTAAAAATAATACGGAAAAAGGAAAAAGGAACCAACCACGCTCACAGCTATTTTCACATTGAATGTTATCTCCTGGTATTTGGTTACCAAACACTATACAGGGCCATGACCATAGTATAGATGTTTCATTTTCATTCTTTTTTAAATTGTTATGTTGTATATATTTGTTTTTTGGTGTCTGAACCAGAAAAGATTAACAGAAGTAATAAACCAACGAGAGGCGTCAGTGGAGGGACTTTCCTTCCGTGACAGTGACTTGTTGTCAAAGCAGTCGGCTCGTTAGTGGGAACAAACAAGTGCTTCAAAGTAAGAAAATAAGAAGTGTGTATTTGGGTTTGTGTGAGAAGTTGATAAACACAAGGGTTTGTTTTACTCTTTAGTGAAGCCCAATCCGCCACGTAATTTGTCAGTGAGCAGCTCAGAGGAACTGTCCAGTATCTTGAAATTGACATGGATCAACCCGAATATCATGGCCATAATGGGACTGAAATACGACATTCGGTACAGGACCAGAGATGCCCCAGCTTGGAGCCAGGTAAATAGAAGGCGACTTTGTGTTCAGCAGCTTTTCGTGCAGCCCTCTAAGCTGCGGGGCGCGGTGCTTTCCTGACTGTTGCACGTGCGATACCGCGCTGGACCTCCTCCAGACCTGCACTTCAGGCGAGGGCAAACAGGAAGACATCCGGAAGAAAGGACAGTCTTGCTGAATACAGTAGTTTTAAGTGAAATAAGGAAGTAGCGCAGGGTGACAGAAAAGAGCGTTTTTGGTGGAAGGTGAAGGGAACACGAATGACGAGCAGATGGAGCGGAGGCGTGAAAGCGGGGGGTTGTGGGGAGAAGGGCGCGCAGGGGCTGGTGGGCCCAGCCTCAGGCCGCCGCCTGCTTTCTAAGCGAAGCGGACGGAGCACGGCCGTGCCCGGCCGGTCCCCCGGCATCCGCAGTGGCGCGCTCTTGCCCACCGCGGAGACCACTCGCTGGCCAGCCCTTGACCGGAAGTGCACCGCGTGCGGCCAGGAAGGGCCCGGTGGGGGCTCGGAAGGCTGGAAAGGAAAGGACCGCGGGCCCGGAGGCGGTGCCGGCAGCGGAAGGAGCACTCGCAGCCCTTCGCAGGCTGTCCCTCCAGCCGCGGGCCGCGCTCGCAGGGGAACCCGGGACCTTCCCGCTTGTGCCTGCTGTCTGCAGGGCCGGGCGGCGGTCAGGAGCGGCAGCAGGCCCGGGGCGCCGGGGCTTCCTGGTGGGCGGGGCGCACACCCGAATCCTCTGGGACAGTGTCAGTAGCTTAGAGCCTTAATTTGTTGGCACAAAAAAGGCTGACGCCTATTTCGTATCCCGTGTTGAAAGCTCAGAGCAGTAGAAAGAACCAGTTATTTATACTTACTCTCCTCTTCTTCCTAAAGGCCAAGTGTGTCGACAGCAGTGGCTTTAGTTTTCCTTGGCGGGCTGCGCGTGTCTCCGTCTCGCTTCCCAGGCCCCTCTCCGCCCTGCTCGCTGTCTGGGCACGCGGCCCTGAGCGGGGTCCGTCTGTGGCTTCTGCTCCCTGCGGCCGCCCCCCGTGGAGTTGGGGGACCGGGCAGAGGGGTCTGGCAGGCGGGAGAAGAGGGAGCAGGATCCTCTCACTCGCTTGGCCGCTCCCTCCGGAGCCCAGGTCGCTGCCACCCTTGGGCGGCCCGGCCCGGCCCTGCCCTGCTGCCAGGCGCCGGCACCTCCCCTCTGGGCCGCGGGGCGGGCCCCACTGTGGCCCCGGAGTGCTGGCCACGCTGCCTAAGGCTTTGCTGTCCTCTGCCCGCGCCCCCTCCGTACACTCTCCCCAACTGGGATTCTGACCGGAACGGGCCTTCTTTCCCTGCTGAGGCCGGCGGTGGTGTGGGCCCACTGGGAGGGAGGAAGGAAGGAAGGGTCGGTAGCAGATGTGTCCATGCTTCCCAAGTCACTTCCCAGATCGATTCCCTTGACTGCCTGGGCTGCCTTTTGTCCTGCGTCTTTCTCTCTCCTGGGCCCGAGTTAAGGGGCCAGGTGTGGGCAGGGCCGCTCCTGGGGTCTCACAGAGCCTGGACGACCTGCGACAGATCCATTGTCAGGGGCCGGTTGGTCTGCTCTGTTCCCAGATTCCTCCCGAGGACACGGCGTCCTCCCGGTCCTCCTTCACGGTCCAGGACCTCCGGCCGTTCACAGAGTACGTGTTCAGGGTCCGCTGCCTGAAGGAGGACGGCAAGGGCTTCTGGAGCGACTGGAGCGAGGAGGCCAGCGGGACCACCTATGAGGACCGTAAGTGCACCGGGGACAGGGACGGGGACGGGGACGGGTGCTCTGGTAGCTCCGGCCACACGGCCCTCGTGCCGTTTCGTGGTCGCCCTATTCGGACTAGTCTCTCACACTTTGATTTTTAAGGACGTCGAGATAACCGGTAGCTCACGCCACTGACACTGTAAACCCATGTGATACCCCGTGGGGTAAAGTGGGGGGCACCCGGCGTCTCAGATGCTGCCGGGCGCAGGCCCCTTGGCTGAAGGAGAAGGGTCCAGAGGTCTCCCTGCCTGGAGAGTCACTTCCGGAACCATTAAAATCACACTGCCCGGCAAAATATGCCCAGACCCTCGCTCTCCAAGAGCTGTTGCGCGGTGGCGCGTGTTCACAGCCCTAACCCTACCGACACTCGCTAAGCCCCTGGAAGAGAATCCTGGAGTCTGCCTGCTTGGTTGGTTTCGTTTTCGTTTTTTTCCCATGGCAAAACTGCATGAAATCATTATGCATGAAAGGGAATTTTATGTATAAAAAATTTGACACATAAAATTACAATTTTGAGTAACATTTCCTGGCCCCAGAAGCCAGTGTTGCTGATTTCGTCTGAGGCCATCAAGAAGCGGTCCCTTGGCGTGCAGTTTCACGTCGACCCTTCCCTGTCGCGGCCTCCCCTTGAGGTGTCCGCAGTCCTGGCCCTGGCTGCCGGCCGCCCCCCTCCCCTCGCCCGCAGTCAAGGGCGGCGGGACGCTCAGACCGGATTCCAGGGGCCTTGACGAGTGGTCGGGTCAGCCCGGGGAGCTCCGGGAGCGCCGGTTAGTGCCCGCGTGCGTTTCCCGGGCGATGGGACGCGGCCCCGGTCGATCTTGGAGGTGTCTGGAGCCGAAAAGTTGGGAACCGTCACTTAGTGAATGAAGCCCCAGGCTTCCTGAGGTCAGGGCGTGTTTCCAGCCCATATGCCGCCTCTTTGGTTTTTTTAAAATAATTTCACGTTCTCCACGTGTGTATTTTTCACTTAGGAATTTCTCTGTCTGAACCGCCCCTGCCTTTTCCCAGCCCCCTGACCTGTCTGTCCCTGTGTCTCGTCGGCCGGAGGCACCTCCTCGTGAGCCCCATGCCTGCTTTGGGTTTATTCTGGCCTTCTTCCAGTTCTGTCGAATACTGTATTTTTGCAGTCACATTCATTAACACTTTTAAAAATCAAGTAGTCCTACAGGAATTTTTAGAACCTGACCACTAGCATTCGATACTTTGTTCTGTAAAGTGCTTTTTTCACACTGTTGTTGATTCTGACAACAATCTTGTAAATTCTTTTGTATTATATTGTCTTACACCGAACCATCCCTAAGTAAGGTGGTAAGTTTATACTGCATTTACTCCATTTATTTTAATTTGTTTGACATGCTTACATTTATACATGTAGGGATTTTAAGCGTGTATTTAAGTAGAAGTTTTCCATTTTATTTTTAGCAGTAAGAGGCAGTGGTGCATCTTCGGCTATTGTTTAGGATATGTCTGCAGCTTCACAATGTTAAGATCGTAAGAGAGTGTCAGGATGCTCCAGATCACCAAACTATCCCCCTGACCGAAGGGAGACCCAGGCATCGCGTGCCGGGATGGGAACACACACACAGAAAAAAAAACAGACACCGTGCGATTGAAGGGCAAGAATATTAAGAGCAAAGTAGAGAATAGTTTTCAGAATTTTGTTTTATTGTTACAACACAAACCTCTAAGAAGTTTATGTCGTTTCTTTAGGACCGTCCAAGGCGCCAAGCTTCTGGTTTAAGATGGAGCCAGGCGCAACCCGCGGCTCCAGGCCCGTGCGGCTCATGTGGAAGGTAAGACAGCCGCCCTGGTCCTCTCTGGTCTCTCGTGTAAATACGGGCCATGCGGCAGTGCGAGGGGGTTTTCTCACGGGAGTCCCTACGCTACACCAGCAAAGCCGTCAGCGACCGTAAGACGTGGGGACCCGGAGCTCTGCGCGCGCTGGCGGGGGCCGGGTCACCAGCCCCGGGCGGCGCCTTGCGGCCGCGCAGCACAGCCCGTGAGGGCGGAGACCTGGCCTTGTTACCGATCTCACGTGAGGGCCTCAGAAGCGGTTCATGGAGGTTCGGGTGATCCGAATGCGCGACGGTGAGAGGAGGCGTGAGGCCATCGGGCGGGCCGCGAGCGTGCGTGGGGCGCCCTTCTGAGAACGGGGGAGGGAAGGGCTGGGGCTGGGGCCGCCGGGCCTGCACGGGCCCCGCCACCCCCGCGCCGCCTCCCTCCTCGCCGGCACCTGCCTCCCCGTGGCGGCGAGTTCAGGGCCACGTGGCCAGCGCCTTCCAGGAAACGCGTGACCTAACAGCATCGTTCGTGAACACAAAGAAGTCAACTTCAGTCTCGGTTTAAGAAATACATTTTTAACGTGAAGTACTTTGTTACAGCCTTTGCCTCCTTTTGAAGCCAATGGGAAAATCTTGGATTATGAAGTGACTCTCACGAGAGGGAAGGCCAGTCCACAGAACTACACAGTGAAGGCCACGGAGCTGACGGTGAACCTCACGGACGGCCGCTACAGAGCCACGCTGACGGCGAGGAACGGGGTCGGCCGCTCGGACGCGTCTGTGCTCGTTCTCCCTGCCTGCGACTTCCGAGGTCCGTGCCTGCGGGTGGGCAAAGGCCAGGCCGCCCGCGCGGACGTGTCTGGGGCCATCCCTTGGGGACCACGGGGGCGTGCACCGCCCTTAGGTGGCCCTTTGCCCTTTCTGTCGGCTGCTTAGCATCAGGGTCTTCTCGTTATATGCTTACCTACCTTTTTAGGTATTATTTTAAGGTTTTGGGATCTCTGACTTAAATATATTGTTTATCCAGAGCTTTTAGAGAAGAACAATTATAATTTACGTACACAAAACGTCTGAAGAATTTTGGGAAAGGAAGAATTTAAGTTTCAAATATATAGACTGCATGTAAATTATAATAAGTGCTTTTGTCTTGGAAATGCATGTTAACATCGTAGGCTACAGAAACTGGTGGCACGATAGAGCACAGGGTTATGGGAATGGCTGTAGAGCGTGCACACTTCAGATCGCGAGGGCCCCTCTCACGGCGGTGTCCGCGTTGTGCCCGCAGCAACGCGCCCCGTGAGGGACCTGAAGGCCTTCCCCAGAGACGGCGCGCTGTGGGTCGAGTGGGCGGCCCCGGGCGAGCCCGCCAGCAAGTACATCCTCGAGTGGTGCGTGCTATCGGACAGGTCGCCCTGCGTCCCCGACTGGCAGCAAGAGGAGGGCTCCGTGCGCCGCACCTTCCTAGCAGGTACGCCCGCGGGGACCCTCGCGGCCCCTCAGGCGGGTTTTCCTTTGCAGGCCCCTCTGCCTCCCAGGCACCGCGGCCCGTTGGGACGCGCTCCGGCCTTCCGAGTGGCTAGGCCTGTGTCTCGTGTGCTGGGCACCCCCCGGGGCTGCAGGGTCTGTGTATGGATGGGGTGAGGTCGTCTCTTTAGGCCTCAGTATGGGTTCGACCATCCAACGGCTAGTCACCGAACTGCCACAGCCTCTGCTGCTCACGGGCCCCGGGCCCGCCCTTCTCCCTGCGGCATCGCAGGAGCCGCGCGCTCCTTCCGCCGTTGGGTCAGGGAAGCGGGGCTGGAACTCAGGTTCCCGTGTGTGTTCGCAGCGCAGGTGCGAGGGGGGGACAGGGAGTGGCGACGTGGCAGAGCTCCTTCCTGGGTTGCTCTGCAGCGCAGGGTGCACCTCGTTAAGTGGCTTTAAAGCGACAGAACAACTTGACAGGAAACAGCCCCATGCAGCGCGCGCGCCACGGGCTGTTTGGCCCCGTGAACCCATTCAGTGCACAACGTTAATAAACCGGTTGACTCGTTTGTCAGCTTTCTCAGCTTGAAAGTGCAGGGCCGAGGAGGGAGACAGGCAGCTGCCAGCCGCACGGTGGGAGCCCGAGGACGGCCCGGCAGGCCCGGGGCCGCAGGCTGGGTGCCGGCCTGGCCCGCGCCGCTGTGAACGCGGGCGAGGGAGGCCACTCGTCCCCCGCGGGTGCCGAGCTGTCAGGCAGGGCCAGCCGCTCTGGGTCTGAGGCCAGGGAGCGCGTGCTTGTTCCCACCAGGGGAGCCTCCGTCACGGCAGAAGACGCGCCTCGGGCCGCCGGCGCCTGGACCTCTGGCGGGCGCCGAGGGGGGCTTCACGCCAGGGCTGAGCTGCAGAGCTTATCGGTGACGGGGCCAAGATAGTTTCTTCTTTTAAAATTGGGTTACCTTCTGGGGAATGACAGCAGCTCTTTCAAGCCCACGGACAGAGCCGGGCCCGGCCCCATGGTGGGCGGCTGCCTGGGTGTTGGTCAGGCGCACGGCTGTCCCTTAAACCCAACCGGAAACTCAGGCGTCCCTCGTGTTGACGCTGGGAGTGTCTCCTCTGCTGTGTTGGCAGTGAGAGTGGCCTTTGACTCCGGAAGCGGCTTCCCCGGTCGAGTTTGAGCCCAGCACACGCAGGCAGGCAGCGCTTTGTTACAAAGGCGTGGCTTTCCAAGAAAGTCCAGTGGCCGTGAAACTATAGTGTAAAACTAAACCTGGAATCGGACTTTTTTTGTGACAGAACAGTGTTTAACTTGCTTTTCTCACTCTAGGGAACCTGGCGGAGAGCAAGTGCTACTTAATCACAGTCACCCCCGTGTACGCGGACGGCCCCGGGCTCCCCGAGTCCACGCGGGCGTACCTCAAGCAAGCCCGTGAGTGCGGACCCCATCCGTGGGAGGTGCTGTGTGTGTCAGCCGGGGCCTCTTACCCCTTTTAAACCGGGATGTGTTCCATGAGGCTCAAATAATGTCATGATCATGAAACTTCACTAAATTCTAGTGCTTTCCAGTTACCAAGTAACCTTTGTGCTGTTCCAGCACCTTCCAAAGGACCTACTGTTCGGACCAAAAAAGTGGGGAAGAATGAAGCTGTCTTGGAGTGGGACCAGCTTTCCGTGGATGTTCAGAATGGATTTATCAGAAATTACACGATATTTTATAAAACTAACATGGGAAATGAAACAGGTAACACAACTGTGTCAGTTGGTAAGGGCCAGGTTATTTCTCCCTCAGTCGTTTAAATACCAGTTCCAGTCTCTCCCCGTCGCAGGCTGGCTCTCAGCGTAGAGTGTCAGCCTTGTAAGAGACGCTCCGGCGGATGCGCCCTCACGGTGGTTTTCATGGTTTTATGTCAGTGATGAAACTTGTGTTTGATGAAATGCGCTTCTGTTCCTTTTTGTTACTTTGGCAACGTCAGATGCAGGCCGAGTGAGGTAGGAAAGCCCCGAGCAGCTGAGTAACACGTGTGTGGTCTCTTCCAGCCGTGCACGTGGACCCCTCGCACACGGACTACACGCTGTCCTCGCTGGCCAGCGACACGCTGTACATGGTGCGGATGGCGGCCTACACCGACGAGGGCGGCAAGGACGGGCCGGAGTTCACCTTCACCACGCCCAAGTTCGGTGAGCACGGCGGGACCCGCCTGTCTCTCCTTTCAGAGCTGATGTGCCAGAACTTTGTTCAAGGCACACCTTTGGGCTCATACAAATGATGTGTTCAGAAACTATGATACGTTACTGATCTCGTTTTAGTTGTTTCTGTAAACTACAGAAAATACTTTCCCTCGCCTTTGGTGTTTCTCATGAACTGTTTCTGACTGATAACACCGATGCCCTAGTAAATCCCGAAAGAATGTGTGTGCCTTTCTGGACGGTTCCTGTCTTCACCAGCAGGGCCCGGGAGCAGGCCCTCCCCCGGTCCCTCCCCTGACCCCTCCTCTTCCAGGCCGGTGGCCGGAGGGACTCCCCCGCCCCGTGTCCCCTCACCGCCCTCCAGCTCGGGCCCAGCCTGCCGACACCCGCTTCCACCCGCGCTGCTGTCGTCGCTCGCGGAGACCTCTCGGGTCTCCCGCAGCGCATGCCTCTCAGTCCCCTGGGCTCCTCCGCACGTCTCAGCCCTGCCTTGGCGGCCTGTGCCCCGCGCCGCTGCCCCTCCCGCGGCTCCCCCTCGGCCGTGGCTCAGCCAGCGCCCTCCCAGCCACCGCCGCCTGCTCCGGCTGCCGTCCGCACTGCTCGGAAGGGCTCCTGCGCTCGGCCCCAGGTCCTCGCCGCCATGCGGCCTGCCCGTGAGCCCTCCCTCTGGCCCCCAGACCCACGTCTCCCCGGTTCCGGGCCACCGCCGTCCCTCCGCCACAGCTAGAGCCCAGCGTGACGGCACTGAGTGTCCTCACAGCTTCGTTGCCTCCACAGCCGTGTATCGAGTCCTCTCGTCACTGCGCGCGTGGGCCCTTTCACAAGCTCTTCCTCTGACCATTTTTCTACCTTTCCCCTCTTCCCCAGCGTGTTGCCCGAGGTCAGTCGCTTGTTCTGGCTGCTCCTGTGCCGCCCTGAACCAGGCCTCGGCTGTGTTCTCTGCTGCTCTTGCTACATTTTGAATCATTGTAGAAATCGCCTTACTTTATTATAATCATCCGTGTAGCCCCCGCCCCCAAGTTGTAAGACCACGAGTGGCGAACGGTGAGCCTCACAGCCCTTGCTGGTGAGAGACTGGTGCATGAGAGGGTCAGCGGACAAGCGACTCCTAGCGCGGAAGGGCCAGAGCACCGCTGGGTGCCCGGCAACGAAGGCCGTTTCTGGGGGGGGCTGGTAGGGCCGTGTCCGTGGAATCTGGGTAACCAGCAATATTTGAGATGAAGCGTCGTGCCGTCATCTTCAGAAAACTAAAAACAATAACCTTTTAAAATATTACCTTAATTATAAAAGTAACGTTCAGTGCAGGGAATTTAGACTACACAGAAAGTGCAAAGAGGAGCAAAAATCACTCCTAAATCCTTCATTGGAATTTTTTAACATGTTAGTATGTTCCAGTCTGTTTAAAAAAAATTTTTTTTAATCTATTTTTAGAGGGGAAGGGAGAGAGAGAAACATCAGTGTGTGGCTGCCTCTCATGCGCCCCCTGCTGGGGACCTGGCCCGCATCCCAGGCCTGTGCCCCAACTGGGAATCCAACCAGTGACCTTTGGTTTGCAGGCCGGCGCTCAATGCACTGAGCCCACCAGCCAGGGTATTCCTGCCTTTTCGTGCATAGATTTTTTTTTTTTCCCCCAGAAATTAGATCAGACTTAACCAGTGTTCCTGGTTTCACTTCATCACCTGCTCCTTCACAGACTCATCGTACGGATCTGCTGCGGCTTCTCTGCATGGCCTGCCCTGCTCCCAAGCCCCTTGCGCTGGTGAAGAAATAGAGGGAAAACAATGGAAGGCCCTCTGGGCCCTGTAGACCGTGAAGAGAGGAAGGGTGTGAAGATACCGGTGGGCAGAGTTTCCCCTGCATAGAGATTTTGGGGAGGGGACACACTTTGGCTCTGAAGTCAGGATGTGGGCGGATGGGATGGAGGAGGTGTCTTGGCACAGCGCGCACAGGGCTGCAAGGTGCCGAGTGGGGCGAGCAGCACCTCAGTGCCGCCAGCATGGCCGCCGAGCACTGTGGGGCAGACACGTGAGTGCCTCGGTGCCTGGCAGGTGCCCGTGGCCCGCTGCGGCTGGTCCCCAGCAGGGCCGGACCACCTCGTCTCCGTTGGGCTCTGTAGGGCGCAGAGGGCTCCTGGTGGCAAAGGCCAGACTAACTGAGCAGCGTGTGGCTGCCGGGCTACGTTCACACGTTTTCTCTGTGCGGCGCTCATTGAAAGGGGACTGGAGGAGCTCACCAAAGACAACCACGAGGCAAGTCTTCAGAACTCTGCCCACAGCCCTGGTCGAGAGGGCGGTGCAGGTGAACGCGGCACTTGCCTCCCCCACAGACAGATCCAGGGTACAGCTCAGCTGCAGAGCAGCCATGGCCGAGAGCCCCCCGCAGTCCAGCTGAACGGAAGGCCTGCAGCCAGGGATGCACAGAAGCCACATCGAGGCGGGTAGGAGGGGCAGACACGGAGCCGGGACGGACACCTCTGCGTTGGGGGTACCCGCCCAGGGTTCCAGGGCCGGGAAGACAAGTCCCCATAACTTCTGACTGTAAGAACGAGTGGGCATGAAGGCTGAGGAAAATGGAAGCTTCCGGAGTCCCAGGCAGTTCCTCTTAAAGGGCCTGTGCATGGACTTACTCGGACTTGCTCCCCCGAGCTCCAGCCCAGGGGCAGCAGCTTGAAAGGCACAGGAACGCAGGGAGGGGCCGTGCCGCCGGCTTCAGGGAGCGTGCTGGCAAGCGGCGGCTCCCTCCCAGACAGGAGCCTGCCGGAGGCCGCGGTTCCTTCCAGGAGCCCCCCCGCCCCCGCCCCAAGTCAGCAGGCAGGCGCCGTGTCTGACACTCAGCAACCAGGCTGCCGCTGGTTGTGCCCCGCCCTGGGGATTCTCTGAGGCCCTGTCCCACCCGACTCTAGGCCCACCCACGCTGTTTCCGGTTGCTTTTCCGTGTGGATGCCCTGTCTGGGCCCATGCCTCGGCCTTCCCTGCGATCGCTCCCACGAGCAGCATTTGGCCTCCACGAGCCCCATAGCTCTTGCTGAGTGGCCCCAGGCCTGGCACTAGCGGCAGCCGGCGTTGGTTCAAGCTTGGCCTCATCAGGGCACCGCCAAGCCCAGCACAAGGAGCGGCCGCCTGCAGGTGGCTTTGTAGCTCATGCCGGGGGGTCCTGGACAGAACACAGGCGGTGGCCGACCTTCGACGTGCCAACAGCCATCAAGGGTCAACTGCATCAAGAAGGTGTACTCAGCCCACATGAAGGGCACCCACGTTCCCAGCTTGGGTGGCAGGAGGCTATGCCGCTGGACCTGAGGGACACCTATTGCCATAGGCCCAGCCAGCAAGCCCGGGAGACGCAGCAGCTCTTCCCATACATAGAAACCAAGGCAGGGAGGCGGCCAGGATGAGGGGGCAAAGAGAACGTGGCCCGAGTGAGAGAACAGATCGGAACCCCAGAAAGACAGCTGACCGCAGCGGCGACAAGCCAGCCAGCAGATGCAGCGCTCAGACGCGGGCTGTGAGGGAGCTCAGGGAACTTCAGAACGTCAGCAGCATCGGAAAGGGTATAAAAACCCCAAAAAGGAACCAGTCAGAAATGAAGAATACACTAATTAAACAACTTACAGGGAATCAACAGTAGAGTGGGTTAAGCCAAGAATCAAAACAGCAGTTTGGAATATAAGGGAACAAAAAAGCACAAATCAGAACAGTAAGAGAAAAAGAAGCCCAAAAAGTGCAGATCATGTAGGAAGCCTCTGGGACAACTCGAGGCGTCCGGAGTCACACCACGGGCACCCGAAGGAGGAACGAGGGAGCAAGGGGTCGGAAGCCTGTTCGCAAAAACCGTGGCAGAAAACTCCCCGGACTTCGTGAAGGAACCTAGACATGCAAGTCCAGGAAGCACAGAGTCCCGAACAAGGTGGACCCACAGAGGGCCCCCCCGCCCCCAGCCACGTCGTCATCGCATTGCCAAAGGTTAAAGACACAGGGAGAATCTTAAAAGCAGCAAGAAAAATGCAGTTACTTAAAAGGGAGTCCCCGGAAAACTGGCAGCCGAGTTCTCCACGGAAACTTTGCAGGCCGGGAGGGGCTGGCGACAAGTATTCAAAGTGATGAAAAGCAGGGGCCTGCAGCCACGGTTACTCTCTCCAGCACAGCTGTCACTTAGAATGAAGGGCAGGTTTGAAGGGCTTCCCAGACAAGAAGCAGCCAAAGGAGTTCATCCCCACTAAGCTGTTATTACGTGAAATGCTAAAGGGGCTTATTTAAGAAGAAGAAAATATGAACAATAAAATGGCAGTAAGTACGTATCTATGAGCAATTGAATATTAAAAAAATAAATAAGCACGACAGAAACACAGAGAACATGTTGACAGTTGCCAGACGGGGCGGCGTTTGGGAGCTGGGGGAGGGGGAGGGGTTAAGAAGGACCACCTGTCACAGGGAAGTCGGGGGACGTGAAGCACAGCGCGGGGAGCGCAGTCAGTCACATCATGACGACTGTGCACAGTGCCACCTGGGTCCGAGACGCACCGGGCGGCCGCTTGGTAGGCTGCGCGGTGTCTGTCCAGTCCATTGCGGTGCATCTGAGACGGGCGTACTGTTGTATGTCGGCCGTAATTTTAAAAATGATGGAAAAATGCCTCCAATGTAAAGTGCCCCAATCAGTGATGCATTTGGTTGATAAGCTCCCCGTTAGGCAGGTACAGAGTCGCGTGCTATGCAGGGATCTTCGGCTTACTGCTCTTCAGGTGACAACATTCCTCCTGCTGCCTGTGCCTACGGAAGTTCCCCTCAGATTCTTAGTCCTGTATCAGAGGTACCATCTTTTTGAAAGTAGCAAATACCAATTAAAATCTTGTCTGAAGGCTCCGCGCATACTCCTTGTGGAAGGTCACACGCGCAGGTCGGGTGTCGGGGTTGCTCCCAGCTCCCGCCGTCCTGCGCCGTTCTCACCGAGGAGCTTTGCCACGGTTCTGCCGTGTGTGGGTCCGGGTTGTCCTCGTGGGTTCAGTCTGAAAGCTCCGACTTCCCAGGCAGAGCCCCCAGTAAGCGGCTCTCATCCTCTTGCCCCAGCCCACGGTGCTTTCTGCCGGCGCCGTGGCCGGCGCACTGTGGGAGGCATCGGTGCGGGGGGGTGGCAGTGGGCAACCTGGAAGTCCGAAAAGGCTATTAGAAAACTCGCCCGGTATTGCATCTTTTTCAGTAGCACAGGCGTGTCTCGGCGGTACCATGGGTCGGACCCTGGGGCACCGCCGTAACGGGAGCCCACGGGTCTCTGGGCTTCCCCTGTGCTTGTAGGGGTTACATTTGTGCTGTCATCTGGGAAGTGCAGCAGGGCGTCACATCTAAGAAAAAAAACAACAGCACACATACCTTAATTTAAAAAATGCTTTATTGCTTAAAAAAAAAAGCCAGTAATCATCTGGGCCTTTTGCCAGTGGAGGTCTCCTCCTCAGTTTGTAGAACCGTGGGCCTGCAGAGGTGAGGAAGCGCGGCGCCTGGGGCCCGGGGGCGGGACCCCCTCGTCCTTGCCGCGGGTCCTCAGCTTCTGTCCTTCTCTCCCTTCTTGTCTCCAGCTCAAGGAGAGATTGAAGCCATCGTCGTGCCTGTTTGCTTAGCCTTCCTGCTGGTGACACTCCTGGGAGTCCTGTTCTGCTTTAACAAGCGAGACCTGTAAGTACCGCGCACACGTGGCGCCGCGAGGCCCCCGCGTGGGGAGCGTGCGGCTGGGTGAACCCGATAGCCGTGTGCAGCCGCGCGGCCGCCGCCCGAGCTGAGCTGCAGCGGCCGCCTCGGAAGCGCCCTGGCTGGCGGCGTGTCCCTTCCCCGCCCTGAGCCCCCCGGCCCCTCCGTCCTCTGCGTCCCGGGACTCAGTTTTGCGTGTGACAGCTTTCACCTAATGTGTTTCTGAGATTCATCCATGTTGTTGAATCTGCTGGTATTTTGTTCTTTTCATGCTGAACAGTAGCCTGTAGTCCAGGCGCCTCACAATTTGTTCATCACACGTCTGTTAAGGACGTTCGGGCTGTTCCTGTTTTGCTCTTGGGAGTGTTGCTGCGAACATTCCGTGCGGACTTGCTGGGGTGCTTGTTACCCACTCGTCCTGAGTGAACACCGCGGGGTCCCGGGGCAAGCGCACGTGTAGCCTGATCGGACACCGTCACGCGGGTCCAGCGTGGCAGCGCCATCCCCTGTGCCCCGCAGGTGCCCCCCGCCCGCCCCCGCAGCCACCCCTCGCCCCTGCGGGTCCTCCCTCAGCCGACCCCCTCAGGCATGTGCGGTGCCGTGTCTGCGGAGTTTCCGTTCCCGTTTTCCTGACTCGCGCGCGTGCTGCTCACACACTTCCTTTGTAATGTGTCTTGAAATCTTTTGCCCACTTTAAAACTGGGTTGTTTGCATGTTAGTATTGAGCTATACAACGTCTTCGTTTATCCTGGTTACAAAAGTTTTGTCAAGTGTATGTTTTGCAAATTCTGGTATGTGGCTTACCTTTTTGGTTTTTAAGATTTTATTTATAATATTTATTTTTAGAGGGGAAGAGAGGGAGAAAGAGAGGGAGAGAAACGTCAGTGTGTGGTTGCCTCTCGCACGCCCCCTCCTGGGGACCTGGCCGCAACCCAGGCCTGTGCCCTGACTGGGAACTGAACCCGCGACCGTTGGGTTCGCAGGCTGGCGCTCGATACACTGAGCCACACCAGCCAGGGCATCTTTTTGTTCTCTTAATTGTGACTTTAGAAAAACGAAAGTATTTGATGAAATCCATTTTTTCAGTGTTTTTTTTATGGCTCTTGGGCTTCACGTCCTGTCCCAACCTTTGCCTAACCTGGCGTCACAGGTGTGTTCCTTGGTTTCCTCTAGAAGTTTGATTATTTGAACTGTGATCTCTTTAGAATTACGTTGTGTGTGTGGTGTGAGGTCATTTTTTTCTATATATATCTAGTTGTTCTGGCATCATTTATTGAAAAGGCTTTTTTCGATTGAATTGCCTTTATGCCTTTGCCAAAGTCCGTTGTCCACACGAGGCGGGCGGCCTTACGGACGCTCAGTTCCGTTGCGTTGCTTTCCTTGCTGCCCGGCCGTGACTGTTACAGCTCCATAGCGAGTTGGGAGAGCAGGCCTTGGAACCCGCCCACGTGTTCTCCTTCGTGATGTGGGCTGGCCTCTTTGCCTTTTCATGTAAATTTTAGTACCAGTTCACCAGTTTAATTTAAGGAAACCCTGCCGGAGTTTTGGTTGAGTGTCATGGAGAGGGCGGACCCGTTCAGGGGAAGGCGCAGCCTGCGTGTAGCCTCGTGCTCGCGAGCCCCCGACGGCGCAGCGTGCCGGCCTGCGCTTTCATTGCCTTGGCGACGTTTTGTGGTTTTCGGTGGACGGGCTGACGTTAAGGGTATTCCTAAGTAGCTTTCCGCTCTTGTAAATGGACTTGGCTTTTTTCCTTTCTAATTGTTCACTGTTAATGTGTACAAGTCCAATTGATTTTTTAAAGCACATCACTCTGGTGCACTGAGACCTTGATAGGTCGTCTGTTCTTGCAGCCTCTGAGTTCCTCAGGGTTTCCTTCCTGCACACGCTGTCCCTCCTGCCCTGAGGGGGAGCGGCCGGCCTCCCGCCTCCCGCCTCCCGCCTGCGAGCGGCCGGGGCCACGGTCGAGCACAATCTCGTCTGCATCGGTGCTGCCGAGGGTTTTTTGTCACGAGCAAGGGTCAGACTTTGTCAGCTGCCTTCCTCCTCCTCCCTCCCGGGGCCGGGGCCGGGCTCGCAGCTGATGCCTGTGTCCTCGGGTTTTCCTGGAGATCGGAGTCGCCGCGCCGGTGGCGCCGCGCCTGCCCCTTCCGTGGCCTTGGTCGAGTTTGGGAATCAGGGCGGTGCCGACTGCCGCATGCGGGGTCAGTAATGGGGACACGTGGCCTCTTTTCTGGGAGAGTTTGAGTAGAATTGGCATTTTTTTTCTTTTTTAAATGTTTGGTAGAATGACAAATGAAGATGTCTGTGCCTGAGGTTTTCCTTTGTGGAAAGATTTTTAATTAAAGGTCTAATCTCTTTATACATACAGGGCTACTGAAGTTTTCTTTTTCAGGCTGTTCTGGGAGTACGTTTTCTGAAGGCATTCATCCATTGGTTGGTTGGTCCGTTCATCTGGGTTATTGTTTTTTCTGTCAGGTGCAGCGTTTACCGTAGTTCCCCCGGGAGAGCCGCCCTGGTGGGATCTCCCTGCCCGCTTTTATTCCGGAATTGCACGTGCTCTCGGGCGGCCCGCGTCCCGTGCACTTGGCCAGCCAGCAGGGCCCGGCCGCGGCCGCGCACGTTGCGCAGGGAGGGGGCGTGAGCAGGCTTCGGCGGTGGGACCGCCTGGGTTCGCTGGGTGCTTTTCATACTGTTAGTCTTTCTTCCTTTTGAAAAATCAAACATCGTCTTTTATCGGGTACCAGTGTGAAGTTGCATTTATCTTTTAGTTGGGAAGTGAACATTTTTGCTCTTTCATTATTGGAAGGGACGTACCACAGCATTTTGTGACGTAAAGCGTTTAAGTGGTGTTTATTGGGGTTCGATTTGAGATCTTACTAAGAGAACGTTGATCACTAGCTTTAGTCTCATTAACAGTTTCTCATTCTGACTAGGATGGATTAAGACCCTTCCACATTTTCGAGGGTGTTTTCCCACGGACTCGGGGCGGCCGCTGTCCCGGCTTCAGGGCACAGGCGGCGGCGGCACCGTTGGTTCGCATGGCTGGCTTGTTCTCAGTGTTGCGCGGTCCACGCGTCTGCGGCTGCCACCGACGCCGTGTCTCTTTTCTCTGCAGAATTAAAAAGCACATCTGGCCGAATGTCCCCGACCCTTCGAAGAGCCACATTGCCCAGTGGTCGCCGCGCACGCCGCCGAGGGTAAGAGGGCTGCTCCGGCTCGCTCAGAGGAGCGCGGTGAGCTCGGGCGCGTTCGCAGAGCCCAGTGAAAAGATAACCAGACTGAATCGGAACGTACGAACAAAACAGTATAATCCTAACCAAAATTTAAAGTGATACCTGCACTTTCTACTTTATTATCATTAGAGCATATTTATTCTGATATTCCTGAGGTTGGATGTTAATATCCTGATATTACACCTTGAACACTTAGTTATTAATACCCCCTCGTGACAGCCTTACGTGACAAGCATTTCCCATTGGATAGTAGACTCAAATTGAATGGTCCGCATTTTAACACGGACGGAATGGTATCTGGAAGCCTGCACGTCGTTCTTTGAACTTCCCTGAAGGAGAAATGATTTGTGTCTTTTACCTTTTAATTCTTGAATTTTATATTAACGGATTAAAATGGGATGTATACGTTTATACTCTATGACACTTCTGTCATTTGAGCTTGATTTTTATGACCCTTTCCTAGTTGTCCCGTCCAGCGAGCGACCCCGGGCCGCCGCACCCGCGCAGCGTGAGCACTGTGCGGGCCGCTACGCCTCTGGGTGACCCGGCAGCGTCTGCGGGTCAGGCCACGGGCAGGGACCTGGGGGCAGCGGAGCGTGTGCGCAAGTCAGCTCTGCGTGGGGACGCGTGCGCTCAGCGCCTGGATGAACGCACACATGGCGATGACCCATTTTCCCTCTCTTTCAGCACAATTTCAGCTCGAAAGATCAGATGTATTCAGACAACAGTGTCACCGACGTGAGCATTGTGGAAATAGAAGCCAACGACAAGAAGCCCCTCCCGGAAGACCTGAAGTCCTTGGACCTGTTCCGAAAGGACAAGGCCGTCACAGAGGGGCACAGCAGTGGCATCGGGGGCTCCTCGTGCCTCTCGTCCTCCCGGCCGAGCATCTGCAGCAGCGAGGACAGCGCATCGGCACGCAGCGCGGCCAGCACCGTGCAGTACTCCACCGTGGTGCACGGCGGCTACCGGCACCAGGCGCCGCCCGCGCAGGCCTTCTCCCGCTCCGAGTCCACACAGCCGCTGCTCGACTCCGAGGAGCTGCCACTGGCAGACTGCGTCGACGGCCTGCCACCCGGACACCCGCCCTTCCCGCAGAGCGGCAGCCCGCACGCCCCTGCTGCGGGCGCCTCGCAGTTCAGAGGGTGCGGGCGGGGGTCCCCTGACCACGAGGAGGACTTCGTCGCACACCCCACCTCTCGGGCCCACGTCTCTGGGCCGGGGAAGGCATTTCCGGAGGCCCTGGTGGCAGAGGCTCTGGGCCCAGGCCCCGAGGGACCCATCGAGGGACTGGAAACTGTGGGGACGGAGGCTGCGCTCGACGAAGGGGTGCCCAAGAGCTACTTGCCGCAGACGGTGCGGCGTGGCGGCTACATGCCCCAGTGAGAGCCGGCGCCGCACGGCCACCGAGCTCAGAGGTGGCGGCCGACACCCACGGAAGGCAAGCCTTTGACCTGGAGGACAAGAACGGCCTGTGCTCCCCACGGCCGCCCCCCCGGGGAGCCGGGACCCACATCACACACTACAGAGACCGACCCCCCACCCCCAGGGGCCAGGGGGCTGGGCCGCTTCGGGGCGTTCGCACTGCGGAGAGATGGGAAGCTCCTCGGGCCTTCAGAGGCACTTTGCGCGGTTGCCTGGAGAACAGGCGTTTCAGTGACAAGCAGCGACGCTCTGTGTGCGGCCCTACTGACTGCAGCGAAGGCCGTCGGCCGGCGTCGCAGGGAGGGGCGGAGTGAGCCCACAGGGCCAGACCCCGCCTCGGCCGCCCGCGTCCCCTTTTCGACCCAGGAGGGCGCCCGTCTGTCGTCACGCTGACAGACCGGGCGCTCCCCCGCCAGCCCCAGGGCAGTGGCCTGCAGCCCGTGCCTGGCCAACTGCGGACACTCGTGTTGGAGTGGAGGAGCGTCCGCCACCTCAACGTTCCCAGCACGGCTTTCCCGGGTAGCGCCCTGTTGGAAGACGCGTTTCACAGACTCAGCAGCCTGCCCGGGAAGGAGCTGGGAACAGACTTCACAGGCTGTCTGAAGCATTTAAAAAGTTCTTGCTATTTATAAAGGCTTAAAACATTTTTCTGTATAAACACTGTTGACCTTTCCCGTTAAGATTTCACAGTTTGGTTGATGAAGCACTTTATACATTGTCTTCAGCCTCAAATATATTTCAGTTTAATATGTTTTGTTCTTATTTTTCAGTAACCCAAGATTGAAACTCCTTTCTTCTAGTAGGTGTTGAAAGCAAATTGAGTTAAAGGATTTGGGCTGTACCCACCCAAACAAAACCAGCCCCCCAAGATGTACATTCTGACCTTGGTCAGCGGTCACTGTCTGAGCGCCTGCTGGGCCTGAGGGGAGCGGACGCGAGGGGCACGGGATCCAGGACGACCGCCCACCCCCGGCCGGCGCTGCAGGGGCGAGGGCGCGGGGCCTCCCGAGAAGAGACGTTTTGTGTTTCTGTCCTTTACGTTACAGAAGTGAGCCAATTTAACGGAGTTTGTAGCAGCGACTGGACAACAGAAGGCCAAGGAAACCGGCGCACGACCACGGCTGCCACGCCGCCCTCCAAGGCCCCTCTCAGAACCTTGTCGCCGTCCGGCCTCTCTGCACTTCGTGCTTTGTCTTCTGGCCGCGTCCTTGCCTGAGGCCTTCCCCGGGGGGCACAGGGGGGCGGAGCGGGCGCTGTTGCGGCCGCCTGCGCGGGCGAGTGATGGGCTTGGCCGTGGACGAGGACGCGTGGGCACGGGGGTGTCGGGGAGGGACCGGGCCTCAGGCCCCCGCCGCAGGTGACTGGCGTCGCTGCCACTCACACCAGTCGTCAGAGGCTGGGCCACAGCAGGACTAGGTGTATCTCATGAACGGCCGTCCCAGAAATTTTTACCTATTTGAGTTTTCATTTCTTCAAGATACGCAGTCACGGTACTGTAACCACGTTCAGTTGTAATCTCCCTCACAAGAAACAGCAGTTAGAAGAGGGGACGTTCTAATGTGAACTTGCGCACAGAGGGGCCGCTGCAGAACGTGACCTCCCGTGAGGGGGCCACTGAAGACAGGATGTCGTCGGAACGCGTTTCTCCGTGGAGGTGTGGGCCGAAGGCAACGCAGCACGCGGACCCCGCTCCCGCCACAGGACCCCGGAGGCCATGCTGGGTCTGAACCACGCGCAGAAAGTAAGTGGCTATTTGATCGCCAACGTGAAATATACAGCTTTACCCCCAGAAGAACAGGTGAAATTGCGCTCCGTGCAGAATGGCTTTGCGGTGGCCCGTCTTGCATCATCTCTGCTGCGCTGCGTGTCCACTGCGCTGTTGGCAGGGCCGCGGCTCCTGGCTCTGCGGTCGGTCTGTGTGAGACGTGAGGGGCTCATTGCCGTCAACCGTCAGGCCTGCAGCTGAGCGTGAAGCCTGGCCAGCTCCTCAGAAGGCCTCCCTGCGGACAGAATCCTCCCCCGCCCCTGAGGTCGCTGGGTGGGGCTGTCGGCTCCGGTGTCTGCAGCAGCCCCGCCCCCGCCCCCGCGAGGTGGGGCCAATCGCTGCAGGAAGACTGATGTCAAACCCGTTCAAATCTGGGAACTGAGGCCCTTGGGAAAGCGGAAAGCAGGGACCGCGGCACTCAGGAGCAGGCTCCCGCTGCGAGGGGGGGAGAGGCAGTGGCCCGGTTCCCAGCCCCTTCTGTGCTCTGCCCACGAGTTCCTCTCATTTCATCCCCCCCCAGTTCGGCCGGTGGCCCCAGCATAGTGTGAGGTCAAAGGTCAGTGGAGTTGAAACACTTAAAATGTCTATGAAAGGTCATGTTTAAAGTGGGCCACTTACAGTAGCTTTGTAAATAGAGATCAGATTTTGAAAGATGTCTTTTTTCCTACCCACAGTTAATTTAAATTGTGACATACCAAGGAGAAATAATTATGTACTAGAGTTCCCTATTTCTGTTAACTGGCATAAATTGACGAATTGGAAATCATAAACAGGAGAGCTTTGTACTTAAAGGATGATAAAATCAAACTTTAATTTTAAGCTTTGCCAAAAAGTGCGCGCGCTGCCTCCAGAGCCTTCGGCGCGTCGCCCCTTTGTGCTGGTTGAAGGGGGTCTGGCCCGGACATCATAGAAACAGTGGCGTCTGGGGGCGCGGCAGAGCGAGACGCTGCGAAGCGAGTGCACCGGCCTGTGCGCCTCATCGCTCTCCTCCGGTTGGTTCTCAGAACAACTTTCTAAACCACATCCTTCTGTTCCAACTACGCTGAGATGGCTAAAATGTCCACATAATACACTACCTAAAACAGTTCAGTTAAAATTTGTTGGGGTAGCTCTTTGTTGTAGGTCAGGGTAGATTCTCTTGCCCAGGTAAGAGTACTTTTAAAAGTTTTTTGCACCTTTCTGTGAATCGAGAGGACACGGAGCCATAGAGCGGCCCAGCATCGCCCTCGGCCCAACGCGGGTGTCGCCATGGATCTCGGGCGGCGGCGGGCGGACTCGCAGCCTGTCACCTCGACCACGGCTCCTTCGGGCGGTTTCTGCACAGGAGTCCAGCCTAGGTCAAAAAGCCTATCACAGCCCAGGGCAGAACCTTTCGGGACCAACGTCCTTTGCACCCTATGCCTCGGCTCGCGCGCGGGCACAGTGGTCCGGCGGCCGTGCGGGGAGAGGGAGGCGGCAGCCCTGTGCGCCATCCACGGTGCCACGTGGGCAGTCCCTCCGCACGGCCCAGCTGTCCTTTAAAGTCCCCCGGTTGTGATGAAAACACGCCTGGGGCCGTGGTGACAGGGCGTCCCTGGGCTTTTGTCCCTGGCGTGTGAGCACTGAACGGTGACTGCATGTTCCCAGTGCTGCTGCACAGTCCCCGGATGGGGCTGTGTCACGAAGGGGCGGCTTAAAAGGTCGGCTTTGAGAACCCTGGCTCGCAGCGTCCGCGCACCGGACAGTGGGCGCCCAGGCGCGGTTTGCTGGGCCGCGGCTCCACCTCCTGGCCCCGCCTCCCCTGTAAGGGCCGCGGGCCCAGCGCCAGGACCAGGCTCGTCTAGAGAGTGTTGTACGTGTTTTTCACCTTTGTAGTGAACTGCATGAGCTCGTAACCACAGCCGTTGTTTTTTATGTTGACATAACTCTAAATGTTACCGTATATGTACTCATGTATCACCTATAATCCTTTAAGTAAATTTATGGAATAAATTCTTGCTGGAATTTCCGTGTGTGGTCACTCCCTTCAGTGTCACAAGGCGGCGGCTGAGGTGACGGTGTCACCGTGGGCGCTGGGTCTCCTGGCGGAGTAGACGCTGAGGGTTCCGTGGCTCGCACAGGCCTTGGGAGGCCGCAGGGCGGCCGGCGTGGGGGTGAGGAGAGGATTGCCCTGCTGTCTTGGCCTTTAGGACACAGAATGGACTCAGAGGTGGCAAATCTGCTCCCCGGTTTCGTGGGTTTACAAAGACGGGAGCCCAGCCTCCCGCCCTGCAGTGCAGTCGATCCTGCTGGGCTGACGCGGGACCGACCGAGCACCGAGGCGCGGTGCTGCCGGGAGGTCTGGCCGTGGTCCCAGTGACGGGGCACCGTGGACACAGCACCACGCGGCTGCCCGAGGCCGCCCTGTATGCGGGCGGACCTGCTCAGCCGGTGCACCTGCAGGACCTCGGCGGTCAGGTGTTACCTACCGCGGGCCCCCTCGGAAGAGAGCCCACGGCCCAGACACACGCTAGCTTCTCCCCTTCCCGTACGCGCTGTGTTCTCGCGCCTGGCGTGGGGCGGTGCACTCCTTTGTGTGGAACCTGGTGTTGGGCGTGGCCCTCGCAGGCTCAGCCTGACTTCCGGTGCTGCCTCTCGTCTCACCCAGATTTCTGCCACGGGCTCCGATTCCAAGGTGATCACGGAGCCCCCACCCAGCGTCCCGGACCCCTGGCCCAGAGACGGGGGGACAAGTCTAATTCTTGGCTTAAGCTTTCTTCTTTTTTAAAGTAAAACATTCCTTCTGTGCTTTCAAAAGACAAGCGTGAAACTCAGTACAGCAAACTGCTTCTATGTCCGTGTTTAAGTCCAGCACTTTGGCTCGTTAGTAAACCGAAGAGCAGGAGCAAGGGGAAACTGAGGCAGGACGAGGAGGAAGGGGAGGCACCGCCAAGTCTGGGGAACCAGTGCCTGACCCCGTCGTGGCCACCGGCTCTCCAACGACCGAGGAAACCGCAGCAGGGCTGCTTGGTTTCTCAGCAGCTTAAAACAGGTCTGTCTCCACTGAGGGAGAAAAGGCTACTTTTAAATTCAAAGTGCAACTTTTTTGTTTCTTAGATTATAGTTAATTTCCCCCAACAGCGAAAGGTCAGGAGAAGGCAGAGCTTAGTTTCAGGGACCTGGATATTCAAACCCAGTCGCGTTTACGTGCACCAACCGCGGTCACGCCCGTCGCCCATTGCAAAGGTGGAGCTGGAATCACCCCCCGCCCCCGCCCCCCACACCTGTTTGGTGAGAACCACGCCCGCTTGTTTACGTAGCTTATGAAACTGGAATCGTCCTGGGCTCACACGGCGGGGCAGTGTCCAGTGGGCAAGAGAAAGAACCCACTCGGAGTGCGTGCATCCCCCCACCCCCTCTGCCTGGGCCGCGCACAGGCCTTCCAGGCCGGAGCAGCGAGCGGCCAGGAGCCCTGGGCCTCCCAGACGCCTGGGCGAACACTGGCTGAGGCACCGCGTGGTCAGGCCAGGCCCCTTGGCTAGAGCAGCCTTCCCGGCGGGACCGGGGAGAGCCAGGAGGCTGCTCCCAGAGGGAGGTGACCTGCGGTTTGGGCTGCAGCCAGAAAAAGCCAGTCCCCAGCAACAGCCTTTAAACGCGTAAATCCTCGGGAGGTGGTTCTGTGAGCCTTCGGTGGGGCAGGGCCCCTGCTTCTAAAGGAATGGCCTGCGGGGGGCCATTTACGTTGAAAGGCGCGCGAAGGCGCCGAGAGCCGGCGACGGGACGGCCCGCACGGGCGGGCGCAGAGAGGAGGCGAGGGCAGCCGGCCGGCGGGAGGGCAGGGTGGCGCGGGCCTTGCCCATCGTGCAGGCCACGCTGCGGAAGGATCTCGGGCCGCCGCGTGCCCTGTGGGGCGGGACTGGAGGGGCTCCTCGGTGCCCCGCCTGCCCAGGACGTGTCCCATTGCCCACGGGGCCGCATGCCAGTGCGGGGCCGATGGAGGTCAGCAGATGCAGACCAGCTGCGCCATGTTTGCTTCGGGACATTAAATCCTTAAAGATCTTACAAGGTAAACATCAGAACCGTTTACAGGCTTGGGCTTGGAGACGCGGAACCGCGAGGCCCCTGGCTGACCGCAGAGCGGGCCCCCAACCCCTGACTCCACGGCCCCCGTGGGCTCATGTCCCCGGCTGCTCAAGCAGACGCCCGGCCCGGGCGGCGCCAGCGGCCTGCACAGCCTGCGTGTCCCCGGAGCCTGCTTTCGACGGGCCCCCTCTGCGCACCGTCCCTGCCTCCACACCAGCACCCGCGCCCCTAGGCTCCCCTCCCAACCCGCTTCCTTCCAAGACCCTGCCCACGCCCCGGGCTCAGCGCTGGGGCCACCTCCCCCGGCGCACGCACCTGCTCCAACCGCGCACCTGAAAGCCGCTCCCTGAGCAGTTTGCCCTCGCGCGGTTCCTACTGTCTCACTCCTTCGCCAAAGAAAAGGGACAGCGCCCCTCCCCCCGGGGCTCACATCACATCCTGCTCCTCCTGTCCTGGGCGGGTCGCCGCCTCTCCTCCTCGGCCCGTTCACGGGGAGCCCTGTCGTCCATGGGGCCTGACGTCCTGGCCCCTCCGACCACGCTGCCTGCACCGGCCATCGCGCCCCACCTTCGGGGCCTTGGCCCGGCCCGGCCCGGCCCTCCCGCCGCGCGCTGCGGCCGCGGCAGACGCACTCTCCCTGGTTTCCGGACGCACCGCGTTCCTTCCGCCCTCTCAGCCTCTGCGCACCGTTTCCTCGCCCGAAACGTCCTCCGGGCCGAGGTCCCTTGCTCGGCTGGAAAATCCTCCCCTAGGCCAGGAACAGAATCAGACCTTCCTTTCTCCTGCTCTCCCCTCCCCACCGCAGCTGAGGGCCAGCTGCGCCCTGAGACCAGGGAGACCAGGCGGCCGCTGTTTGTCTTAGGGAGCTGAGCGCCCGCCGCCCGCCCGGCTCCGGGCGGGCGCCCGGCCCACTCGCCTCCAAGCGACGTGCTGCTGGTGAAGCTCGTAAGGAGAGGCGACAGGACAGGTGGTTCGTTTGCAAAGGAACTCTTTTATTTTTAGCACGTGCCCCCGGTTCCTTTCGCCTGGCGTTCACGGCGCCGCGGCAGGTCAGAAACTTCCCTCTTCTCCACTTCCAACGTGAGAGCCTCCCCTGACCCCGTACCCACCCCAAGAGCAAAAGCTTTTCCAAACCAACATGTGTGCTCAAAACACAGCAAACCCAAACAAAATGAAAGGCAGGTGGATTCTTCCAGGTCCGCATCCTGCTCCACC